ATGTATGTAGGAAGGTGATTACCACCCCCCCCGGATAACATTTTCCATTAACAGAAGTATTCAATAAGTTGAAGAGCTTCTTGTGGCTCAGTAATGTCTCTGTCCTAAGGAAATAAAATGTTTCCTCACAAAAGAAGAGCAAACTATCAAACTTGCTAATGCTACTCTAAATTCTTAACTAACCACTACTCAGTATATCTATACGAAAGGAGGTCTCAGAGCATCAAGAAAGGTAGTCAGAATAAGATCGATATTTTGGGTTATGGGTGGTGAAAGGGAGCTGAAAGATGCATAGTGTTGTCCTGTCCTATATTCCATCATTTATCTCAGTTCACTTCCCACACACATTTTTGCAAGCAATCACATGACCATATACTACCTGGTGGCTTATCAGCTACATCTTTGGGGATGTACATTTTAAATCTATCAGCAAAATATGAGTTTTGTATTTCTATGAGCTAAAAATAAAGATAATACTAGTAATCCTGAGGGAAACCCTAAACACAGGGGAAAAAATAACTGCTGTACTTCAAAAGGCAAGAAAGCAATGGACAGAAATATTTAAATTAATTGATACCCCAAATGCATGCTTAAAAGAAATGATGTACTCAATTAGGAGAAATGCTAAAATCTCCAGAACACAGCAAAACACCAAGCCAAAAAAGGAGACTGACTGTTTCAACTTCATAAAATGAGATGAACATGGGAATATGGCAAGTATAATGCTGACAATTCAATTTGAAGAAAAACCAATAATCAGGAGCAATACTTAAGAACTTCCACATAAAGTACATGAAAATTGAAAAATAAAACATAAATGCAGCTTTTGAGAACTATTAAAGTAACCTATAAGCAAGTAGGAGGAATCAAAGAAAATAGGACTGTGCGCAGCTTCAGTACTCGATTCGATTCAGAAGAGATTTGGCCCGATTCGACAGCTGAATCTCCAAATCCAAATTGAATCAGGAGACCCATTAAAAGGTCCGAATTGAATCGGAGGCTTCCAAATCAATTGAGAGAGATTCGGAAGGCTTGCAGCAAACAGAAACTGAGAAGAGGGAGAGGGATGGGGTAATCTTCAACAGTTTTTGTTTTCAACAGTTTGAGGTACACTTTCATAGAAACCCCTGCAGCTATCTCCTTGAAACTTGGCAGGCTTCATGCCCTCAGAAGGGGCTACCATCCCTGCTGTTTTAATCTTAATCTGCAAAAAAATGACAAAATTATAGGTATTTTAGTGAGTCCCCATTATAGTCTATGGCTGAATCTCCGAATCGGTGCCGAATCTCCAAATCTGAATCAGCCGGACTGAATTGGAACAGCAATTTGATTCACTGAATCGAATCATTGTCCCTCCAAATCACCCAAATCTGAATCCAAAGCGAATACTTGCTGCTTCGTACAGGCCTAATAGAAAAGTATGGCTGCAAGGGGCCTCAAGAAGTCATTTAGTCTAAACCCCTTAGACAGGATCATCCCTTTCTAAAACATTTTAGAGAAGTGTTGGTCAAACCTGCTCTTGCTAACTTCCAACCTTATTGCTAAAATAGCATTTCTGGCCAAAAGACAAATATGTAACTGTATCTGTATCTGGAGCCACTGGAATCAATGGCTTTGGACCCTTGTCCTTGGACAGAAGCATTAGACTTTTGTAACCTTGCTTCAGGTAACAATAAGTAAAATGGCCAAAATTGGTAAGGCCAAATTTGGCAAAAAATGGAAAAAAATGTAGCCCCCTGAATTTCTCAGTTAAAAAGGAAGAATGATATAGATAATTGCTGCAGTGTTTCCAAGTTTGCCAGAATATAAGTAGTATTATAAGAAAAAAGAGAGTGAAATTATATATGCTGCTACATGTCACAGGTTCTGAGACACTGGAAGTCTACCATACATTCCAGAGGAAGCATAATGGGGAGACAGCGTACTTCTAAACAAAATAATTAAAAAACTTCAAGTATTTTGATCTATACCCTCATTTGAGAAAGATGCATTTCCTTTACAAATACAGACAGTATGTAAGACCACTGATGCTACACTTCTATGTAATAACTTCAAATTTATGATGTAACTTATGTTATAACTCATAAGAAACAAAAAACTCTACATCAACTACTTGTGGATAACTACTGATGTGTATACAATATACATTTATAAAGTTACATCAAGTAGAGGTGTTTGTAGTTGTATACAAACATGGTGTTTCTGTTGGAGGTGAAGTTGGATCTGAGTCCATGGCACTGTCACCTAGCTCCACCTGTGCAGAATGCACACACACATAGCCTAAGTAGGTCATGTGTTGAACTTCGGATGATCTCCTACTTGAGTGCATGCTCAGTTACCTCTGAAGGTAGGTATCTCTGAAGAGTACCTAGTGCACAGAGTGTACCATGTGCAGAGCCCTGGTGTACTGGGTGCATTGCCCCTATAAAGGTTTTGACGTGATTGACACTCAGGGCATGATTGAGAGAGAGGGAACGTGACTGTGTGTGAAGCCACATGCGAGTGTGGGCCTGCTAGTGTGTGTATGCTAAAAGGATCCTGTGAGACAGGGAGAGAGAGAGAGACTGTTAGTGTGGTGAATGAATTAAGTGCAAGTGGCTTTGTGGTGAATTGATGCATTAGTGTAGGTGCTTGTTGTGTGGTGTTGTGTATTAGGCTATGCTGCAGCCATGGAGGTCTGACGAGTCGAGCACAACCTTGACAGCGAGGTCACTACAGATCTGGCATTCATCCCCAACAACCGCTACCTTTGAGGCTCCACCTGTCCTCACCGCTGCTGGTCTCCTGATTGTGATCTCACAGCAAGAGTGGCCAGGGTTGGCTCCCTAGACCCTTTCTCCCCGGGTGTGTATAGTGCATAAGTTGCAGCCCTCCACCCTTAGTGTAAGTATCACCTGTTTTTCCTCCTTCTCCTTCCTCGTTCCATTCTCCTCCCTTCCCTAAAGTGGAAGGTAAGTTGCCATAGGATCATCACTATCCGTGTGATCTACATCCACTGTGTTCCAGACTGGTGGAGACCCAGAGTTTAATAAAGTTTTCCTCCCATATAATAAAACTCACAGCCATTCCCGAGTTAATATTGATTCTAAGGTTTTAGTGTTTGTGGGGGCTGAATTGTAAAATAGGCATTAGATCAGTTAGGTATAGGTGTTTTTTTAGGAATTATAAGAATAATTTTGCTGGGTATATATTTTGTAGTGTTGTTACCTGCTGCAACTGTTCTCCAAGTCATTTATATTTTACCTGTTATCATCAATAAACCAATGAATTTGTGACAGTTACACAACTGTGTGCAAATGTCTTAGTAGTCATAGTACAAACAATTGCCGGATTGATAGGGCGGTGATTGATACAGCCAGTCAATTCATTAGCCAGTGGGGAGCCAAAAATCACCCCATTTGGAACCAACTACTGGGTCAGCCATTAATTGGGCAGTGCTAATTAGGCGCTAATTAAGTCCAGGTCCAACATTTCTACATTTATGATCCAACAAGTATATATATACTTGTGTTCTTACCTCTTTAAATATTATACTCAATATATTTGTGTGTGGATTTGAGGGTAAAAAGTCCATCTTTAAGTCTATTGCTTTTCTTTTCAAAATATCCCTTTCCTGTGATGGCTGTATGTGGCAGCCAGAGGTACTACAGGTAACATTAAAGTCTCTTTTAGTATTTCAGTTTAAAGCATTCACTACCCTATCACTATTCAGAAAGCACCCAAACATATGCTTAAATTTAGACACATTGTTAAGTCTCAGTGACTTCAGCAGTTGAGTATAGGTTAAGATGCTTTGCTGAATGGATATTTCTTTGAAGCATGTGCTTAAACGCTTTGTTGATTTGAGGCCAATGTGACCAGGTTCAAGGGACCATGGTTTCCTAGCATCTTGTTTGAACATTTTGCAGCTGAAGTGGATGGAGATCATGAAGTAAATATTTTATGGTTAGATTACAGGGGTTTGTAGAAGACCCAGGTAAATCATCTCTCATTTAATGGTGTTAGTTTCTTCTGATGTTACCAATTTGCAACCATAAGGGAAAAAGATAATCAGAAAAATTGACATATACTATTTTATAACAGGATGTTGCTTATCATCAGCTACTGAAAAAGCATTAAGCAGGACAAGAAAGGAATCACAAATAAATTAATACAAATAAAAAAGGAAACTTTTAAGGTAATTGTAATACATGTCATCAAACATCATACTTTTAATCTAAATGGATTCATACATGTATGAATTTTGTAAGTAATGGTGAATGCTTATATTTGATTTTAGACTATAAACCTTGAGCATTTCATTTACAGTTTAGATCAGTAAACTTCAGTCCTTGTGAGCTTTAAATAAGTGGTCCCTATCTTATGAAAAGCGGCTAGCTGTTTAAATATAAGGATTAAAAATGAAAACAGATTACTAATTATTTAAGCAAATGTTTGGGAAATTTTATGAAACTACCCTCTGTTTTTTAAACTGATATGAGATGAATACTAATGCTAATTTACTTTAAGACAAAATTACCAAACTAATCACACTATACTTTTACCTTTATTTTAGACTTCCAATTTAGGTCAGCTGTTTCATACTTGTCAGTTTTAGTCATTCATTTTAAACATGCAGAACAAAAACCTCTCTCTCCTTTAAACTACTTGCAGTAAGACGACCCTTTCTAACGTTCTGGGCACCAGAGATCCTATTTGTTTTCTTTTCAATGCCTTAGTACAACAAATTGAAAGTAAACCGTAGAAGAAGAATAAATAAAGTGAAGATACTGACTTACTAAGAAATGTTATGTAAACTACATCTATACAGTATGCTTTCGATCAGCACTATATTACTTAATTTTTTTTTGCGATATCCAAATAATCCAAATAATGTAATTTCTGATAATGTATATTTAAGTTTTTCACTTAGACATCTACATTTATGATGTCAATAAGTACAGTGTTATATACATTTCTAGAAGTTAACTGAACTGATAAAACAATAAAGCAGCACTCACTGGGCAAAAGTTCTATCAACAAGGTCCACGTGGTTAATTTTCACAATACATTCATTTTCATGGAAAAGTCCATCACGCCTGGACCTGCTGTTCTCCTCAATACCACGAATAAAGAGTCCTAACATCCTGAAAAACAATAATAAAAGTAATGACTATCCTTGATAGATTTCTAGTAGTTCTAATAACTAAAAATAGGCACTGATCTCTATACAAGGAAAAAAAATTACTTATGGTCTCCTAATCCTAGCCTAGTTCTTATTTTAAAGTAATGATTTCTAAAATCTTTATTAATGAGCAAGATGCTCCAACAAAAATATTAAATCAGCCAATAATAATTTAGTATACTAATACTGTTATTCTTCCAGCACTTCAGAAAGTGCTAACCCAGAAGATGGAGCAGTGAAAGAGAAAGCCAGATTTCCCTGTCCAATCAAAATGTTAGAATATATAATGTTATATAACATGCATATGTTGCTAAATACAATTAAATCACTACTAAAATCCAGCCCTGCCATTATGGTTAAGGAAAGAATAATAGTTTTAGTTAGATGAGATCAAAATATATACCTTAAAGCTATAAGGAACCGGAAGCCCATTTCTGACATGTGGGAGGAAAAAAAACACTCCCTAGGCAAGTAAAAAAAATCTCCAAAATTAGGCTAAATTGACACAGATTTCAAACCTAGTAGGTCTCACTGATCAGCTGCAAACCATGGCTATGTTCATTAATAAAGTTTTACAAAGCACTAGCCAGGGGATCTGGGGTATTCACCTAGACCTACTACTGTCAGGACTTCCTGCACATCCTTTGTCAAGCCACTTAAATCCCTTGTGTTTCATGGCATCTTTATCTGACCAATGAGAATAATATTATTTTGCTACATTACAGGGCTATTAGATGTTGTCTGCATTAAAATTTATAAAGCAATTTTAGATACTCAAATAGAATATATTGTGCCAAACAATTATATAAGGAAGAATAAGATGCCTAAAAAAAATGGAACTTCCTCTCCTGATGGCACTATAAGCACTGAATCAGCTAATGGGAAAGATTTCAGGTAGAAACTCTTACTTTCAGTGCATCCAGCTTAAAAACTTGAGATGTCAGTGTGATCAGTCTCACATTCCAAGTAACTGACTGTGTGTGTATAAAGGTATTTTATAATACAGTTTTTATTCACCAACTTTCCATACCTTATGAACATCAAAATAGATGGCATTTAGAGGTCCTCTTCCAGTGGTTTCACTGGATTAATTTTCAATTTCACACCTCCTTGCTATGACCTCCATATTAAAAAAACAAAATTCCTGTATTTTTTCTAAATTTGTGATTGCACCCAAGATTTTATAGCATCAAAAAGGCTCGTAAGTGACTGTAAACCAGTTTTGTAAAGTAGTTTTTTGGTTACCTTGCATCTGATTTTTAATTGTTTACTACATAATTGAAAATACCGCCCCTCAAACAAAGTTTTTGTCTACAAAAGGGAGCACTGTGTGTAGGCTTTATTTCTACTGAACAATTACTTCACTGTATTTGCCCCACCATAACAAACTTGTTATGTAAACCCCCAAATATCATGCATACACATGCTATGTTAAAGACTTTGTGGTAGGCGAGTCTGAGAGGGAAGGAGAGAGGATATGTGGGGAGAGACAAAAATTGACAATATCCAAGAATACCAATGGAAACAACCAATTAGCTACAGCCAAAGCGTTAAATGCTACAGTCTAATTTAAAATAATTAGATTATGGTACAAACTAATAAAAACAAGGAAATTAAAGAAATTACAAATTAAGGGTGGTACTATGATTTTAAATAATCCCACTGGACCCAGACACTGCAGCCATTGAATACTGAGCTGAAAAATTCCCGTCTGTGCTACAGTACCTAACACATGGCTTGAGTTAAGTTTGATGTGGCAGCCTAAACTCATTACTCCATTATTTTTATTGTTTAAAGTCTCAACTTTAACATTATTTTAATGTGCTTTTTAAATTTAATTTCCTCTCTTTTGGTAGGTCTTACTGTAAAGAAAACAGAAACTAGCTGTTGTCGATCACATACATATTAAAAGCCTAACATTTTAAAATCAGGGTGAGGATTTAACTAACTAGGATTGTATGCCTTAATGTTATTCACTAAAATAGGCACTACCAGTACTGCTATAATAAATATACTAGTTTATAACTAGAAAGAGAAGAGGCTTCTTCTATTCTTGGATGAGTTAGAAATGTTATATACTGGTTTCAATTTGATTAAATAAAAGGGACAAGTGCTTAAACCACTCTAGTATTTTATAAAGATACCAGTACAATTCTGCCAGGGGTCATTTAAATTTCTCAAGACAATTCAGTCCGTCTGTCAAAAAATAGCCTGCTCTAAGCTATACCCAATGATATCTGTAAACAAGAATATTAACATGCACAGAAAGTAGGCCAAGGAGTTCCAGTGTCTTTTTAGCATGTTCTTTAAAAGCTATACCCAAAGCAGCGAGATTTCAGCACTGCAATAATAATAAACTGCTGATTTTAATGCCTAGCAATTTTATGGTGTCTTCCCTGAGGATCTCAAGGTATTTTACAAACATTAGTAAATTGAGCCTGACAATGTCCCTATAATATAAAGAAGTATTGTCTCCATTTCATGATATAGAAACAAACATGAAGTGCCTTGCCTCAGGCAAAACAAGCAGTCGGCGACTGAACCAGGGACAGAACTCAGATCTTCTAACTTTTAATCTCAGATCAACTTTCCACTCAAAATAAAATACCATTTTTCCAGCTGTGCAAGGATTGGGCTTTTGTTGTACCTATGATGATCCAGGGAATAAGTGGCAAGCAAGGATTTTGGGGAGATAGAACCACCACCACCCCATTTCCCTGTGCTTCTGGCATTGTTCTAGGGAGCTATGGGTGGAACATCTACTTTTCAAATGGACAGCTAAAACATCCCAATTGAACTTGGCTCCACCTAGAACCTCAGATTCTGTTGAGGAAATAGTCAAGGAGCACGCCACCTTAAAAGGAAAACTACACTTTTCCCAGTTATTCCACCATTCTGAAAGTTGACAAGTTAAGAAACAATTTTCTTTATGATTAGACTGACTTTTAAGTTTATAATTATAATTGGCTTAGCATAAAAGGCAACCATTTTACTATGAAGTGATGTCATTTATGACACTGGCAATTTCCCATCTCTTTCACAGGGTTGCCAGTGTCAAATTAACTCTCTGGCAGCGACCTTCTATGTCAAATTTCAGTCTAGAGAGAATTTTTACATCCAAGTTACATAGCCTGGAAAATCGGGAGTTATAATGAAAATGCTGACACAGTCTTAACTACGGTACATCAATATGAACTTGCCACTGTAATAGGCTTTTGCGTTCTCAAGAGACTATGTTAAATCATTTACAATTAAAGTAATCTTTCAGTGACAAAGAAAAGTTCATGGTATAGTACACATTTTGTAAATGCTATGGAACCTAATTTGAAAGGTGGCTTGAAAAAATTGAGCATGACCAGACAAGCAAATTGTTTTGACTTTTCTGTCTGGTCTGCTATTTAGGAATAAGGAGAAGGGGAGAAAAATCAAATTGGACAAAAATCTTTTAGAAATGCAATAATCTTCAGAGAGGCCAGGTCACCATACTTACATGCAAAAAGGAAATTTAGGGTTTGTTTGAACTATAAACATTATGGATATAAAATGGGCTTAATGTTCTTAATGTGTATACAGAACAACAAAGATGCTACTGAAGGAAGATAGTGTGTTGGGTTCAGTAACCAACTATTAAAAAAAAAACCTAAGAAAAAAACAAACAGTTTTAGCTCCCCCTCATGCTTTCACAGTAGGGAGATCTTAAGATATATAAACATATCTGTGACCTTTTCATTAGCCTGCATCTCTGTAATAAGGAAATCACTTTACCTTCCACTCAGAGATGAAAAAAAGGGCACTACATGTATTCCCAAAGGGCCACCTTCTCCAGAAATCTCCACTCTTCTTGTCATATCACTAAGAGAAAAAAGAAAGCAAAAGACATTTCTATTAAGAAATATGTGCAACATATAAAACCCCCCCCAGATTTAATGTAGTTATGTCAAACAGCAAAAGGGCCGTCAGAGAAAATTAAATGCAGGGCATAATGACCAAAATATGCAGTAGTCAGAGGTGGCTCAAATAATATCATCAACTTTGTACATGCTGGGTTTTGCATTTTGGATGAGTAAGGCAGACACTTCATACTGGTTGCTTACTTAAGGGCCTCTGTACACAGGGAAATCAACCTGAATAGCTATTGCAGACCTAATGAGCAGCATTTTGTGTCCAAAAGTTTGTCCAACATCCTGCCTCCTCCCACCCCCAACTATACAGTTGGTCTGACAGATGAGATGACTAAAAAAAAATAAATCTTGCCTCTACACTGAAGAATAAGGTATTCTGCAATAATTCTTCAGGTTTCCCAGGTAATTATTCTCTTTTGTTCTAGAATAATTATTCTGCATTAAAATTATGCCAGTAGTTTGGCTTCCACAGTAGCTATTCCAGTAAATCTCCCCAGTGTGGACAAGGCCTAGTACACAAATCACATCTTGAGGATTTCAAACCAAAACATGAAGTAGTCAATATATATTTAGTGGTCCTTGCTTTGCCTTCAATTGCATTCATGCTGAATGATTTAAGGAGTAGTGGTGTTATAATGGTACTATAGTTGTGATGGTCCAGGAATATCCAAGTAGGATTTATTGACTACTATCTTTAACTGGAGCAACTATTACAGGTGCACCGACATACATCAGTACATATCATATCAGCACCGATAAAAGGAAAATTAACATTGGCAATTGGGATTTTTTTGGCTGATGTGGTTGATAATGTTGCCAACAAATGCCATGTGCATTTGTGCAGCCGCAGCATGCACGTGGCCAGCCAGGCAGCTTGGACAGCAGCATCCAGCTGGTAAGTTTGCTGGGGGGGGAAGGGGCAGGTGGAGGGAAGGGGCATGGTGGGAGCAGATTGAGGCCCCTGCAGTAAGCAAGGGCAAGTGCTACCTAGCTAGCGAGGGCAAGTGCTACCTACCTAGCTACCCCTAAATGGGGCTGAGGCAAGTGCTACCTAGCTAGGGTGGCGCACCAGACAGAGCCATGAGTAGCTTGTCTGGGGAGCATGCGGGGGTGGAGGGGTGCTCCTGCTGCTGTGTGCACTCCTGAGGGAGGCATGGGGGATGTGTGCCCACCCAGATCTGTATGTGGGGTGAGGGTGGGCTGCTGCTGCAGGCTGGGGCCGGAAGGAAGGAATTAGTATTGAAAGTGACTTTGGATAGACTTTGACACTTAAATGCTATTAATAACTAATTTCTAGATTGATATTCTTTACTGAGTTGTATAAAGATCACTTGGAAACAAGTTGTCTTAGAAGTCGGAATCTTAACTGCTTTGTTAAATATAATATGGAAATAAAAAAGAAATTATGTAGCTATCTCATATGTTGTTTTCAGGCTTAGGTTTCAAAATAGATGCTGAAGTAAATACTATTTAAAAATATATTCTCTAAAAATGGAATCTATAATACTTAAAAAAAAATCAACACTTCCAACATAAATGCCTTCTATGAACTACTGTACTTTATTTAGAGTTCTATTCCTAAAGCAGTCAGTCATGAGCAACAGACTTTCAAAAATATGTTTATTTTGCTGAATTTTTCTTCCTTGTTCTCCTCCTCCCTTGGAAAAAATGCCAACATACTTGTGCAATTTACTGTGCTATTTTCAGTAATTTAAGTTTTCTAGTGAAATTGTTCAAAAAACAAAAATGAAAGGTGTGATCAGAACTTATTACGAAATCCAAAATCTGATGCATGAAAAAGATCTCTCCTTGGTTTTCCATTTACATTTTCCCCACCTCATGGTTTCAGACAGGATTAGAAGTACCAAAACAGGGTTAAAAGGATACTTTAGTGTTCTTTTGATATTTTGGTCTTGTTCAGAAACAAGAATATCAAAATGTTAAGCAGGCAGTTTCTACAGATGTGAAAGACAGCCATAACATATTAATGTGCTCTTTGATTGGCACAAGGAAAATTAAAATAAGTTACAGCTGTCCCCACATAACCTTATTTTGTTCAAGTTCTCTCAGCTAAGGATTGTCTTCCTATGCCACTAATATTAAGAAGAAATATTTTGAAGGCAATAATGATAGAGAGAGGTTTCCTGTCACCTTAAATTAATGTACATACCGATATAAGAAATAGGCTCAAGGCCAAAGAAATACACAACTTTATTTTTAGGTCTAACAGTGTATTTTGGAAACAGAGATGGACTAAATATATGTTAAGGCTCAATACTGCATACTAAAGCATGCAAACAGGTCTGCAGAACTGAGGTCCATAAACAGGATGAGTATACATCACATGGCCATAAAAGACACTTAAAAAATATTTTGAAAGACTAGGTTAAAAGACCTTGTAGAACAACATTCACAGACTGCTTAGGCCAAATTCTGTTCTTAGCTTTACTTGTGAAAATGGAGCATTAAAAGAGCAGAACAATTCTTTATAAGTTTAAATCCTAAATAACAGAGACTCAGTGTGCGTGTCTACACGTCTGCTGGACTACGCAGGTGTTACTGTGAAGTCATCTAGTACTAGCGTGAGCAAGTAACCAACGTTATTATGCAGTCCTGAGGCTGCATGGGTCGTGTCTGAGGCTACTGCATAGTAGCAATGAGCTACTACTCAGTAGTTCATTGCTACTGCACAGTAGCATTGGCATCATGGTTTGTGCCCTCTGATGCTATGTGATGCAATGTCATAGCAATGAGCTATGGTGATGTAGTTCATCACTATGGTGACACAGGGTCTCATGTAGACATGCTCAGGGAAGCTTAGTTTCCAACATCTTTCCTGTGTTTCTGTCCATTCTTCACCCACTATCTAGAGATCCTCCTGGCTGTTTCAGTCTTCCCGAAGGTAGAGGGTATAAACTCCTTGGCTAAGTACAGACAGTCAAAAAGCCTGAGGCTGAATTGATTCAATCTTCATCGGTTAGTCTCAACCGCATAAACTGGACTGATACGCAAGTGAACAGACATTCACTTTTGATTCCTGAAATGCAGGCACTTGCCAGAAGCTGGAGGACACTACAGCATGCCTCCCTACTCAGCTGCAGCACGCAGCTTGGGCCAAGGCTAGCCTGCAAGAGGTGCAGGGGGTTTGCAGGGGAGGTGCAAAGCATCATGGGATGCTGCGCGACTGTGAGTTAGCTTGAATCTGAAGGGGATCTGGTACAGCAGTTCAATAAACTAATTTAGCCTTAATCAATTAAGTCTGATACTACATCCATCCAGGTTTATCTTAAACCAGTTTCGGCCATCTTGAAATCAGTTTATATGCACTGAACTTCTGTTGCATTACAGATTTGAACTGGTTTCCAATCACTTACACTAGGTTATGTGCAACTGCTGTCCCTAGCCCAACAATGCACTTTTTCACTTACCCTTGCAGCCTATAATGGAGAGAAGGGAACCTGTGGATACATTATAGACAGATGCTTACATCTTTGATTTAGGGTCTGTACTCCCAGTTTTACCAATAAGCGATATACAATATATAACAATGGCAGGGGAAGATACAATACATACACCTCAACCTCTTCAGATTCTGTTGTGTGAGTTGGTGACTGATCTGAGAAAAGATGGAGACGGAGCCAGCAGCAGTTATAAATTTTGCGGGAATAGATTTTAAAAGCTTATGATCCTGTGGATGAATCTCACATTTCAAGCCTCAGAAAGTAATAAACTCCACAGGCATAGTAGACTATGGGGTTCACAGCAATTACAAGCTCTGCTGACAATATGCTTACAGGGCTTATAAATTCTTGACAGAACTGAAATTTAAAAACTCAAGGGGCGGAGACTTTCCCACAACTAAGAACCCAAAAGCATGGTTAACAAGAAAGTCTCTTTATGGACTTTCTGAACCATCTGATATAAGCAAAAGAAAAAAAGACTCCAAAGTCAGTAGGCAAACCTTCAAAACTCAGTAAGTTGACTGATTTTCCTTAGCTATATTTTAAATGCATCCTATATCTCAAGTGCCTTTGAACATTTATAAATGAAAGAACAGATCTGGCCCAGCAAGTCAGAATAACAAAACACAGTCACGTTTCCAGCTCTGAATGGAAAGTTACGAACAGTGAACCCCTACCATAAATGAGACAGAATGCCCACTTGTGTGATATGATTCTGAAAACACTCTTACTTTTTACAAACACCAGCTAGACTACTGCTTCACAAAAACCTATCCTTATTGGACTTACACCCTAATTGCTAAATCAAAATAGATACATTTCTTTCAAAATACCTGAATAGCTGTGAAAATCAAAAAAATGTTCATTTGAATTAAGCTGCCTTCTTTTTAAAGTTCACTCCTGATTAGTAAACTTATGTTTAGGTTGGAAGAAATAAGCATGTACTCAAACCTTTACATCTACTGTGCTAAACTTACTACAGTGGTCAATAATAAAAAGAGAACATCTGCCTCACATTATCATATTGTGGTAGCTAAGACAAGTCTGATATTATATTACTAGTAAATTACCCATCAAGAATGATGGGGAGGGGACGGAGACAGAAGGAGGGAAGCGTGCTAACCTTAACCCTAGCCTGCCCCCTCCCCCAGGGCCACCACCGCCTCCCAGGAGTTGGTGGGGGGGAGTTTGCCCCACTGTCCCCCTACACCAACACCCTGAACTGCCACTGCCTCCAAGGAGCATGGCCAAGGGAGTGCGGGTGAGGCCAGAACCACTGGCCTTGCCCCCCCTACTCCATCCCCTCAATCCCCGCTGTCACAGCAGCACTCCACCACACCACCGCTACCACTTCCTGTCTGTAATGCTCTTGGAGCATTCTGATTGGTTGTTTCAGTAACCAATCAGAGTGCTCCAAGAGCATTACGGACAGACAGACAGATGGATTAAGCCCTTTATTATATTAGAATGGATTTTTGACCTGCAGGTG